GGGGGGACTGCTGCGGTGCTCAGCCCTTCTTGGGCTCCGCTTCCGGTGATCGGGCTCCCCGCCTGCATTGCACCGTTTCCCGGGCGTCGCTCCTCGTCCTTCCCGGAGGTGCATCCGCCGTGGATCTCGTCGGGGCTTCCACCTCGAAGGCTCCAGGGTCATCACCCCCTCTGGTCGCCCCCCCGTCGGCCACAATGAGACAGCGGCAGAAATAGCGGCCAATCCGCGGACCACGGCGTGTTGGCCGTCCTGGCTGGGTCAGCTGGTGCTCCTTGTGGCGGCGATGTTGCCGGCGTCAACTATTTCAATAGTATTTAAATACTATTTAAATTCAGTTTAAATTCATCTCTCCTTTTATTATTTACAATTTTATCTGTGGCTTTATTGTTCTTGTTTTGATTGTAAAGTGTCCTTGAGTGTTTTGAAAGGCGCTTATAAATGTAATGTATTATTATTATTATTATTATATTCTCATCCACTAGAGCACACGTGTCAAACTCAAGGCCCGAGGGCCAGATCTGGCCCGCCGCATCATTTTATGTGGCGCGCGAAGGCAAATCAAACATGTCACCCTTCCATGATGCTTACTAAAATCTCGACCGAAATGTCAAATTCTCATTTGTAATAAATAAGAGCGATACTATAAGCATTTTCTTGTTGCCAAACCCCTCATTACAGTAACTTAAACATTAGTTGAATAAACCGTTATTATTGAGTTTTATACTGTATATGATTTCAGCCATAGCGGCCCTCAAAGGGAAACGGTCACTAAAATGTGGCCCACGACAAAAATGACTTTGACACCGCTGCACTGGAGCGTGCCAAAATGTGAAGCAACTGCAGTTGATTTGTATGAGTGCAATATTACTTCTAAATATGGCTTCATATCTTATTTTTGATCAAAATAATTTTTTTAAGCAATACTTGACATGACATTTTATTGTGATGCGTTGCAAATTGCAGTGTTAGACTGCAGTACAAAGTAAACTGCAAGATTTAATTTTTTATTTTTTTTAATTGCGCAGATAACTGATTTACTCCTCCCCAAATAATCATTTTTGAGTTAAATTAATTTTTGGCGGGTAATGGGTGATTCTAACGGTTTTACAGGTTTGAGGTCATGTTATTTGTTTTTATGAAGAACGACTGTTTGGTTTTTACCGTCCCGTGCTGCCGACGACCTTGCTTCAAATAAATGTAATAAAACATTAAGCAGGTCATTTCAATTCACTCCTGATCCGCCGCTGATTTGGAGGTGAGAAGGGAGCGCTTGCGCAAACAAGAGTCACAGAACCACTTGGCATTAGCATGCATTGATTCCTGCTGCGTCTCGATTGTAAATGGTCGATTCTCAGCCGCCTGTCTTGTAGTCTGAAGTGAAAGAGTGATTGCAGGGTCCAAAGTGCCTGAAATAGCAGCAGTGACGCATGTTACAGCATGTGTCAATACATTTCTTTCATCAAGCAGTTCAAACCATTTTCAGCAAAATCACGCCATCACACAGGGGAGGCGTATTCACGGCTAATTTTATTTTTCTCTCCTGATTTCCAAGTATTTCTTTTTTTCAAGGGCCTGTATATTGGGTTTATTTGGGGGGCTTTAAAGCCATAGACGGATATACTTTCTTAACGCTATACTGTATTTCCTAAAGTCTGGACAAATTTGTTGAGCTACAGCAAATGCGGATTTCATTCATTCAGCAAATTTCCGCAACTGCGATGTGGTTTTGCAACGCTATTCCTGACACTCATTTGTCATTCACACAGAAAACCTGGGTGGGCCTTCGGACCTCCTTAAATGGCAAGCGATTTCGTCAAAGTGACCAAAAGAGCAAGCGCCGGCGAAACAACTGAGAATGTTCCAAGGGCTAATGTTAATGTTTTGAACCTTTTAAGTGAAAAGTTTTGGTGAGCTCAGTTTTAAGGAAAAAAAAACAGACTTCCATCATTTCTCTTGATAGCTGCTTCTGTTCGACGGCAGACCAGGGAAGCTTGCACGGTATTAATTAAAGACAATCATATGTGATGACACAATCAATTGCAATCAAAACGCAAACAGAAGCGATGCTTTGCACTTGATTTCCCCTCTTGAGACTATAGAAACGAGAAATAGATTAATTCTTTTTTTTTTTCTTTATGTCACAAAAACAAATTTCTCGTGAAACCAAGTCCAATTAACAATAGATGAGAATTTCTCTGAATGAATATGGTTCACAGTGGTTGCTTGGCAACCTCAAGGTCCAGACTGCAGATGTCTCAGCAAGGAATGAGTAAACATTTCTCAGACTGAATTTTAATTCAGCGCAACAACATGCAGTTGCCTGTTTGCCAAAATTTGATTGTATCGCATTTTCCATACTGATCGTTATGCTGCCGGTGAGCGAGAACCTATTTCGGCTGACTGGACCGGTCACCGCCTAAATTGCAGGGCACAAAAAGACAGCTGTTCACGCTCACATTCACACATGTGGATAATATTCACTGTTTTTTGGATGCACTTGAGAGAGAAGCACTCCGAAATTGGTTGTGACATGTTTACAATGACAATAAAGCCAATCAGATTCTGATTCTGATCATTTCAAGTATTTGATGGCCCCAACACGCTTTTTTGGGGGCCGGGGGACTCCATAGAGCACTGGTGTCAAACTCAATTGTCATGTGTCATAAATAACATTGAGATTTTGCACAAATATTCTTACCCGTATTACGCTCATTTGAACAAGAATTGAACAAACTATTTTAGTTGAGTACCTGATTTCAAAACTAGTAGTCCATTAATTTGTTGTGTACAAGTAATAATGTGATAAGACGATTAAAAACGTTTTTGTGGTTTCACTGTCATAATGGCCCTCCAGGGGAAGAGTCGCTCCAAAGTGGCCTGCGACAAAAATGAGTTTGACACCTCTCGAATTGAAATCAAAATGTTTGTATTTTCATAAAAACAGTGTTAATGATGAGTACGTTTCCTTATAAACACATTTCCCCAAAATATTTGGCTACTCTCGTGTTGTTTATGCCCATAAATTGCCTCCTCCCAAAATAAATGTCCATTTATTTACATGTACAACCAGCAACCCATCAATCTATTACTGCAGGATTCATGATTCGATTTTTTTTTTTTTTTGCTGTCATGTGGCCCAGTTCAGATGTGGGTCATGGGAGTGTGAATTTAAAAAAAAAAAAGAAAAAAAAGTGAAACCAAAGATTAAAATAACCACAGCTGTGACGGGAACAGAGGGTGGGGGTGATTATATTTGTTAATCAGTCATGGAAAATAGAGCGGTCACTTGGGGAAACATGAACACTGCTTCTGTCCCTCAGTGTCCATCCCTAATGGGATGGATGAGCTCTTTTTCCAAGCTGCGTGATATGATTGCAACCTTCAGCCCATTTTCTCTCTGCGGCATGGCTCATTGCCTCCTAGAACTTGATCCCGTGCCACAAACTGTCCAATTCCCCTCTGCCCTCTCATCTCACTCAAGGTTCTTTTCCTCTATGGATATAAATAGTCGATTATAAAAAAGCGATGGCTGTACGGGGCAACAGCAGCTTTGTCAGGATATTTGGTGAGTCGTGATTATACATCAAAAGTGTCCAGTTCCTATTGCGTTGATATTAACGGGGGAAATGTGGGAACATAAAGTTTGTATTATCCAACAAGTACGAGACACAGAAGATGCATTGGATGAAGAGGAAGGCTTAGAGCAGCTGTTTGTTGCACGCAACTTACATGACAGCTGACAGATGCAACGAATGACAAGCTGAGCATCCACCACACTCATGATCAAAGCGAAGGCAAAACTGACAAACACCTCAAAAGCTCGGACCCGTGATCTGCGTCAAATCGGCAGCCTGGAGCAGCAGCAGCAGCAGGAGCGACTCCTTGGCAGAAAGAAACAACTTGACCATTTCGCCAGCCGTTTTGAGGCGGCTGCGGCGGCAACTGTCGCTCCAGCTTTAACCATCAGCAGCCAGCCACTCATTCTGCAAACTGCCAATGTGAGATGTGCTCTTCAGAGCATCAACACCCACAACGTGCTGCTGAGGTATTTGCTTCTATCCCTGTTGCACCGCTCTGTCCCCACGTGTCTGAAAACATCTACCATAGTGCCAGTTTCCAAAGCAGGTTTCAGTGACTGGGCTGAGCGATTACAGGCTGGTGGCATTCACACCTGTAATCATCAAGTGCCTCGTGGGTCTTCCACCCACCCTGGACCTTCTATGGTCGGCATAGAAGAGCAATAGGTTAAGTGATGATGCCCTCCACACTGTACAGCACCACTTGGGAGTCACCTGGGATCTATGCAGGGCTTTTTGTGGATGACAGCCCCGTTTTCAGGAGCATCCAAAATATCAGGCTGTTCCTCCAATTGCACAATAGCACAACACGTAGACTTTTTGATGAAGAGGCCTTAGTTATTTTGCATGGGCACGCACCACCCGAATAATGAGCAGAGGTGGCCCACAAGGCTGCGTGCTAAGTACCTTCCTTTATTCTGACTGCCACCAAAGCCATCATCAAATACCGCCGCATGTTTGAGAGCGTTCTGACTGGCCTCTTGATGTGGTACACGGGAGTCGCTCAGGAGCAGACAAAAAGGCTCTGCAGAGAATTATGAAAACTACAAAACACATCAACCACCCCATGAAGAACATCTGCACCGCTTGCTGCCTGCACAAGTCACACAACAACCCCAAGCGCCCTTTCCACACTACTCCCCACCTTTTTGAACTTTTTCCGTCTGGAAAGTGATTCGGATCTATTAACACATACGCCGCAATATTCGTGAACGGTTTCCATCTTACCCATAACCACATTGAACAATGAACTCAAACACAACTGTATGTCTAATTTATGTGGCCTACGCGCACTTTGGCAGTGCTGTGGGGTAAATGAAGGAATACTGATGTGTGAATGATAAATCGTTTTATTTAATTGATTATTTATTTTTCAGGGTATCAAATAAACAAGCAAAAAAAAAACCCTAATGACAAACAAACTTGTGTTGAATCTTATTCTCCGTTAATCTGATGATGGTTTTACAACAATCTATTCTTTCACAAGGCAAGGACTAACGTGAAAAAGAAACCGTGGCTATTCCTACATTTGACAAATTTGCAGTGTAAAGAAGGCACAAGTGCAAACGACACCTAAAATGACATGAAATACAACAAAAAAAAAAAATAGCATCATAGCTCAAACACAGGTCAACTTAAAAGCTAAACATAGTTATGACGTGGCAAATCCTCTACACAACAACAGAACTTGAACTGGAGCATGACTTTCAGTAAGCAGAGCGGTTCCATCAGCGCATTGGACACGTTCAGATGGACATTTTCAAGGGAACTCTTTCCTGGTTTGTGTTACCCGGCTGTTTGGGGTTCTGGTATGACAGTCGCACAAATACGACAACGAGGATGGTTCCTGATTGAAAAAAAAATCAATCAGTACAAAAAAAAAAAAAAAAAAAAAAAAAAACCTAATAATCCATCAACAGCATCTGTATTTGACAATAAATTTGATGTTATGGAACGAATACTGACCGATGACCGCAAACGTGCCGAGCAGAGTGCCCACCGCAGACTGGATGGTTGGCATGCCCTGCAGCTGCTTGGCTGCCATTTTGCAGCTCCCCCTGATGTTGCAAGGACACACTGTCACTACAAAGAAGAAGACAGAAAGACTCTGTCATCGCACTACGTGGCACAACAACCAGGTCAAGTCAGGGACAGGCTCATATAAGAGAAATGGAACGCTCGGGATTTGATGGCCATTCTTTCGATGTTTAAATGTTTCCAGCTGCAATAATTTATTTACCAAACAACTGCGGGAGTATGTGAAATAAACTCAGAGTGGACAGGCAATCCAAATCCCTCACTTATCGCTTTATCAAATTTGTTCATTAAAAGGGCCAGCACGTTGTCATTGTCAGCTGACTCTTTGGCCGTGGGGAATCTGGCTATTACCTGGTAAGTTTATGAAGGTGCTCCTTGGAGGAGAGCTGCTGTCAGAGATGGTGAAGGGCACAGTATAAACCTCGGGGGCCAGATATGGTGTGTTCAACGAGAGGTTCGTGTGAGTATCTGTGGAGGAAAAACAAAAACAAACACTCAATTGCATCGTGATTTGTTCCATTGCTGATAATGACAATTCTAAGCGTGACAAGGCTGGTTTGTCCTGACCTGACAACATTCAGCCACATGGAACTGAGTGACAGGTAAAAGCCAACACGTGAGAGTTGTATGGGTATTTTTTGGAGAACGTCAGAGACCTGACCTCAAACCCTTCAAACACCTTGAACCACAACTGAGATTGCGGGTTCTATTTTGGCGACCTGTGCAAGGCTAGCCTGGATCGGCACAGAGGTGGTTAGACCCAATTTCGGTATTTTTGCAAAGACTTGAGAGCCGGCACAGTTAAATGATCAAATTGGTCCACTACCTGCACCAATACCTCGACATAATTGGTGAAACTAATCTTGTATCGGCATGAAAACCAAGAGGTGTTTACGTGCAGCTGCGCCGTCTAGAAACATAAAGCCTCAAACGTATTTATGACCTCACAAATGTTCTGCATTGTCATAAAAAAAAAACCAAAAAACAAAAAAAATTTAAGTTGGAACAACGACTGACATTTACGGCAACAATCTCAGTTAGCAAAACAGAGTTTTGACTTACTTTTAATTTGGGGAACAATACAAGGGACAATTAGCTCTGTAGACTCCCATTTTGTTGTTGAAAATCTAGGAAAGCCAAATTTCACAGTCGCAAACGTGAAAATATTTTGTTGAATTGCTCAACTTGTAATCTTGAGTCAATTATTTTTTTTTTACAGTGTGGATGAATGGACAACAGATTTTAGGTTTGCACATGCATGAGCACACACACAACCACACACACAAACACACACACACACACACACACACACACACACACACACACACACACACACACACACACACACACACACACACACACACACACACACACCAAACTCTGGCTGTCCGTCTCCCTTGCAAACCCATTTTGCGTTTCCCAGCGACATAACACCCACACACTTTTGTGGAGTGTGCTGGAGTGGGACTCTTTATCTTATCCGTGCAAATCAGTTTAAAATACACGACAAGGCTGTATGACGTGAGACCAGCCCTGCAAACAGAAGCGTTTATCAACTTGTTTGAACCCTTATCGGAGCTGCTTACACTTGCACCTTACCATCACCATACACTCCCCCCCCCCACCCCAAGCCCCGCCTTACGGTTCAACGCATTTGCCAGCCAAAACAGCAAGAGCTGCGTAACATTTGCAACCTCTTTTGTTTTTCTCCTCCGTGCGCTATTTCATACATGGCTTGACACCATGCAGGTTGCCTTTTGTAGGCTTTTACAATGACAAAGGTGGATCGCATGAAACGCATCAAATACAGACCGGATGAGTCATGACCACTTACTGCGAGGAAAAATCAGACATAAGTGGGGCCTCATTTGCATCGATGGGCACAAAAACAGCAGCCATTAATGACGGCACTTTTCTGGGCGATTCCTATTTTAGCCTCCCCGAGCTGGAGAGAACGGCATTGATGACGCCAAAGAAATCACGTCGTTCAGTTGCAAGTTATAACTCGGCAAAACGTGCGGTGCGTTTCGACTCGGCCTCCTGCGCACAACGGAAAAATGGTGTGTCAAATTGGCTGAGTGAAATCAAATCATCTGCATCCAGATCCATTTTTCAAGTACTTATACTTGATCCAGAAGAATTTCTTTTTTTACAGCCACTTCAGGAAAAATATACATTTTCAGTGTACCCCCTAAATAAAATCCAGTACAACGGATCAGTGGGGATTGCCTCGTTTAGTCGCTTTTGGCGTGAGGTGGGTCTATGGATACGACGGATACCAGTGAGGGGAATTGAACCGGCGATCTTCCATTTGCAAGACAACTGTCGTGTCTTTTGTGAAAAGAATCCATCTGATTCTCGAGCTAACAGAAACAAGCTTCCATGCAGGTAGAGCAACAAGGCAAGGTGACGGTTTCCTTGACTACGGATGTATGAGATTCCCTGGCTGTTATTCAGAAAACCTTTTCATTGCTGTCGTCATCATTTTAATAGTTTTGTGGAATAAAAAGGGCAGAGATTGTACTGGTCACTCTTCTTCGGCAAAGGTGCACTTAAAAGCATTCGCACAGAAACAGAAAACAACATTTTGCTTTGGGGTGACCAAATGGTTAGCTTGGTTTGTTAAAGGTAGCTTTTTTACCTGAAAGGATACAAAATATCATCGTAACATGACGTAGAGGAAAGAAAGAGCAACCTATTTGGTCCGCTGTTGAGATTAAAACTATTCTTGCCGTCATACAATGTGATCTAAATAAAAACTCTGACTTGGGGTTTTGGATAAAAGAAAACGTTGTCAGTCGCTAATTAATTTAGCACGCATGTTTTGACCGCCTGGAGAAAACTCACGCAAGCAAGGAGATGACGTGAAAACTTCATACAGAAAGGTCAGACCTGTAATTTCCATTTGTACTTTAGTGAATGTCCCTGGGATTGTGATGGTGTCGCGCGTGCTGTTTTTTTAAACGTGACATTGTGCTCTGGCTGGAAGGTAATCAAGGGATGCCGTGGTGATGTCCACTCACGCTCACCATTGATGGGCGTGAGCTTCCAGTTGCGTCGTACTGTCGCGTCGCTCCTTAGCGAGAAGTTGAGTCTTCCTCCGTGCTGCGGCCCGTCGCTGTCGCGCGAGGCCAGCACCAGCGCTTGCTCTTCCCAGCGAGGGGTACATAAGTACTTCCACGAGTAGTCACCCACCAACACTGGACTGTTGTCATTCACATCCAGAATTTGCACCGTGACCAAAGTTGAGGCGGATAAGGAAGAGTTACCTTGATCAAAGAAAACAATTTTTAAAAATCATGACACGGGTAGGTTTGGAAACAACTAAAGATATTACGACACTTAATGGCATAAATCTAACGTTTACATCACAATGCACGTATGGGAAGGTGTACCAATTAGGGCTGATCTTCATGAAGAATGAGAGGTCTGTCTGTTCTTATCTTGTGAGTACACACATAATCATGATTGGATTACCGTATTTTCCGCAGTATAAGGCGCTTCGGAGTGTAAGATGCACCTTCAATGAATGGCCTATTTTCAAACTGTTTTCATGTATAGAACAGAAGCCACAATCGTGGCTGCGGTTGTGTCCTGCATCCACTAAATGGCGCTATGCTAAAGAGAATACAACACAATGCAGCTTTAATTATGTCGAGCTTTCACAACCACTGCAGCTGTCAAAAAGCACTTAAGAGAATATTTAAAATACTACACCCAAGAAATGTAAATATTCATCCATATATAAGGCGCATCGGATTATAAGGCGCACAGTCAGCTTTTGAGAAAATTGAATGCTTGTAAGTGCGCCTAAGAGTGCGGAAAATACGGTAAAACATTTCTCGGACGCACCTATGCCATATGGAAGATTGGTCGTCAACAGAGACCTTTTTAGGTGCGCCTCATAGTGCGGAGAATACGGTAATCAATTATTGGCGGTGCACTGATGACTAATAATGAAATCCATCTTACGTCCATCCACTGCAATGACTTCCATGGTGTATGTACTGTTCTCCTCTCTGTCCAATGCTTGCACCGTCTTCAGCTCACCTGAGTATTTACCAATTGAAAAGTACTTCTTGGTGTCCCCCTGGAGAGAATATCTAGAAAGAAAAGCATATAAGTCTCTGCGGAACTTCAAGGTCGATCATTTTGTCAGAGAATGGTGAGAGTGAGATTTACCTGATAGGATGCGAGTCAGGGTCATAGCCTCGGATAGTGGCGATAACCCGCCCTGGTTCTTCGCCCTCTCTGACAGTCACCTCATAATGGCTTTGAGATAGAACTGGACCTTCATTTACGTCGTCAACATAGATCGATACAGTTGCCGTTGATGAAGGACCATACCGGCCCCGGACCAGAGCAACTGGGTTCTGGGCACTTAGAACGAGGATGTATTCACTCTCACGCTCAAAGTCAATGACCTGCTTGGACAGAAGGAAAGCACAAAATGTTGTTGACTTGTTTGGAACTTTTTCAACACAAACGGTTTCTTAATTCAAATTAAGACCAGTAAAGTGGATTGCGTGGACACTGCAAAGGGTCTCACATTATGTTGCAGTCAAGACCACACCAACTAAGACATTGACGAGGCGAGAGTGGATCGAGACGGAGACAAGACCAAGACTTATGGAGGTCGAGACCGAGACAAGACCAAGACTTATGGAGGTCGAGACACTCCAGGCGACACCGGGGAGGCAGCGCAGCACTTGCATTCTGCATTTCTCACTGACCACAGTAGCACTGGCCCGTTCTCGACTGATCTTGATCAAAAAGGCGGAGTCCGCCCTGTCCGAGACTGAGACAAGACCGAGTAAAAATTCCTTTGATTCCGAGACACGACCCTTAAAAGTGCTCTCGAGACCAAGGCCGATCTTGAGAGTTACAACACTACATTCCATGCATGGAGCTCAAATTTGAATCCCCATTTGTTTTCGAATCATATGTCAGAAGTAGATTCATCTACCTACCACCAGGATTAATCAAGGGAGAAAAAGACACATTATTTCTCTCGTGAAATGTAACGGCAGGAGAAACCGATGCATTAAAACAAGAAAATGTCAAAGTGCTATAATGGGGAGATGTACCAGAGGCACGAAAGTGGGGCTGGGGGGACGTCAAAAAAGATGCAACTCCAGGAAGGAGATGACTCTTGGAAGGGGTGACGAGATCCAGCCAGCCCACTCACAAGCTTGAACGCAAACACTCAGCCGGAGGAGCCGTGCAAAAAGAAGATCTTATCAAACAACTGCCGTCTGACATCAGGTTGCTCGCGCTCACTGCGTGTCTGTTGCCAGGGAGAGAGAATGCAGAGCTTTGGCGGGGGACGAATGGGTAACCGTCGCTGACTGGAAGTGACGCATCAAACCACTCATTGTGCATCAGAGCATTAGATCATGTGCAGCCTCTATCTTGCCAATGCAGTCGTCCAAGCAACTCCTGTCCACGAGGGCTAATTCCTGATGTCAATTACAAAACAAAAGAAAGAGTTCATGCAGCCTTGTTTTCTTTTTTTTTTTTTGCATCGTCATCATTAAAAGGGATGTCCTCCAGTGCGTGAGATTTCACGCTGGGTTCTCTCCAACTCCATCTTCCTCCCACCAGTCAAAAAGCTATGTATGTTTGGTTTGTTGCAAGTGTGAAATGTGGAAAAAAGTGTGAATGCAAGTGTGAATGTCTGTCTCCTTTTGTCAGCCCTTTCACTTCAACTTTTCACTGCACATTTCATTATTATGAGTCATATGAAGTATCGTATCCATTTCCATGTCAACAGAATTATTGAAGTTTTTAGCCCGGTGCACTAGCCTGTGTGCTTAACTGCCACTGGTCTCTGCACATGCAATCGAATTATTCTCTCTGGCTTCAAGTAATGAAACACGTCTGCCTTCCGGCAAGGGCCTCACATGGTGACGCAAAAAAAAAAAAGGAAATTAATTCCAAGAGCGCATGATTTTTCACTGGGGCTCTATTTGTGAAGTATGTCAGCATTTTTAGTGAATGACAATAAAAAAAAAAAATTGCACTTTAAAATGTCACTATCAACCTCATGGTTAAAATGCTTAGAAACAATTGGATATGCCAAAACCAACCTTAGCCCATTAAACAAAACAAATCAGAGCTATTTGATATCACCGCTAAAAACAATCAATAATCATCTGAAATGAAAGTTGGTCTTTCGGACATTGACTGCCGTCGTTAAGAGTTTAACAGCTCTCGCAGGAAGGCTGAAAGCCAAACACAACCTGCTGGCTTACGTAAGCCAATACAATACAATAGGATTCATTTTAAGCAGGGTATATGCATATTGATAATCGGACCGAATTTGATGTACCTGTGAAAGACTATCCTGTGTGAACATATTGTGGCGGGAGGTTTGTTGAGATTCAATTTCACCCACAAATCGGATTGAAAAACAGGAGGGGCCGGCGATCGTAAATGTTCAACAAATTCAATATTACTACGTGTGTGGTCATCATCGAGTTTGCCAATTCGACCAACTCGATGATTGTCACATGAAATGGAATTATAGCCACAGGATACGAAGAGAGGAGCAACTTTGTTTGTGTAACACGTCGGAAGTCATTCGCCATCATAGAAATGACAAGGAGAAAGAATTTGCATCTGCAATGTTTTTGTTGGGTAAGCTAACAGTTAGCCTGGCTTGTTTCATTTCTTTTGTTACTTTTCCTTAATGCTAGTCTATAAATGAACACAACATGAAAGATGATATCGCTAATTAGCTACCTATAAAGTAGCTAACTAGCTTGCTTGCTCGCTAACGTTGAGAAATTTGGATCACTTTGCAGATTATTGCTGTTACCAGTATTATGAAACGATGAAACTAGCAGTAGACATTTTAGATACTCTTCTTGTTTTCAAAAGAATCATGAATAAATCAATTGCTAATAATATTCAACGGATAATAATTTTGGATTGGAATCCATTTCCAATGTTAACATCAATACTAATGCACTTCAATGAAACAATAGAGTTCAAGTAGAGGATTTTTTAGGGGGGTGGGGGGGGGGCAGGGGGGCAACTGTTTACCTTT